GTTAGAACTTTGTAGTGAAAAAAAAAACATTTTAAATCAGTTAATTTATAATATTAATGCTCTGTAAATTTACATTGAGCACTATTTTGTAAAAATAAAAATATCTATAAGAACACCAGATTATATATCTTACTGTTCTTTCTTTTTATATATATATATGTTAAAGACTTTTCCTATGACCCCAACATGTGCCATCACAAAAGAATGTCACCTTACTTTTGTATGTAGATAAAGGGATTCCTTGTAAACTTCTTACTTACCAGCTAGCAATGGTGATATCCAATCTTGCATATACTTTTACCTCTAAGTTGATGTTAGAAAATAACTCAAGGTTTCAAGTTTTATCTTTGGTACTTGGTCAGTAATATTCACAACTACAGTCACAATGAAAACAGATAAAACAAGTGCAAGAACCAGAATTGAGAATTTAAATTAATTTTTTGTAATTTTAATACCCCAATTAATTATATACAAATTTCTTTTGTATGTATTAATATAGAGTAAATAAACAAATACACTTCTGTTAATGGAAAAATAACAAACTACACTTTGATCTTTTAGTAGTAGAAAGAATAAAGATCAGAAAAGGTTTTACATTGATTTTAAAATGTACCCGATCCAAATCTAAAATGTTTGTCAGTCTTTAAACAGATGTTAATAAACATTTTAAAATGAACCTATTTTAGTGAATTTTGGATTCATTAAATCTGTTGGAAATAAGGCTTATAAGATGCCAGTATTAATTCTGATGCAAAGAAATTGGCCAATATATTTATGAGTTGCAAATTTAATGCCCATCAGTTACTTTTAGTCTAAAAATGTTGACTATACTGGATCAATTATAATGCAACTAACGTGGTACTTGCTGATACCTAAAGTCTTGTATCACATGAACTAGTTAAGAAAATAATTTCAAGATCCTTTTTCCCAAATGTTCAGTTTATTATTTATAAAATTTAAAATACCAAAACAAAGAAAAATTCTTAACAAAAAGCATATCTTGTAATCCGATTAATTCTCCATTACTCAACGCTGCACATTCCAAAATCTTTTTTTTTTTTTTATCAAATGTAACTTGATTTTGTGTATGAACACTTGATATGTTTTGTTTTGATATATTTTTATGTGCAATGAAATAAATACACATTTTTGAGAATATAAGTGTTGTCTTTAATTGATTTTTTGGAATTAAAATTCATACAAGGCAACTTGAAATAATAAAATCAATCATGATAGAAGTGTGAAGTTGAACCTGGCTCATAACTTATTCGGTTGCTCTCCATTGGTGTTTCCATTGTATATACAAGTATTTCTTTCAGTTTTAGATGAAGATCAGTCCAACAGTTAAAGCTTTATCAAGAATATAAATATTCTTAGCTGCATATACATAGTGTCAGATTTTATTATGCAGATCAAAGTTTTCACAATAAAATTCATGTCAATGTTGGTCAAAATTTCAGGACACATGCCATATTTGCTAGATTATCATCATTACTATTTGTGCTTCTCAGAGATTGGTAAATTGACTTTCATTTATGTATGATGTACAAACTGATTAAAAAGTTTTGGAAAGATTAAATTGCTTTTAGTTAAAAATAAATAAAACTGGCAAAATTTAAATCACACATCCATGTGACAGCATTTGGTTACAAAAAGAGTTTTAGAATTCCTGAGATTGATATAAATCTTGCAGGCACAGAGGTTTTATTCCGTTCCATCTTTATAAATTTACCCAAACAAGTTGAACAATGCATAAATCCTACACAAAGGATGGTAGAGCTCAGTTTTTATAAATAATAATAAAGAATAGAGGTTCTTTTTTTTTTTTTAAATCTGATAATTAAAAGTAATTAGAGTAGAGAAAATATTTTTAAAAATATTAAAATGAGCGAGATACATATTTTTTTTAAACTTTAGCATGTTGATTATTTTGAGAAAGAATTACTGAGACAGGCACATATTTAATCCTGAAACAATCAAGAAAGTTAACCAATTCATAATACTTGAATTATATTGCAATGAACCTTTGTTACACTTATACCAAAATAGAGACATATCATTAATTTATTTGGTAATATAACATTCAGTTATATGAAACAAGAATTGGTTTCAGGTTGGGATGAATTAATGCCATAAAATGAGTGTAATATAATTCTTATGATGTGCTGTTACAATTGGACTAGTATCCTCATCTTGGTTGTTATACTCAATGTTTTGGCCTTCTGGCATTTGTCGTATTCAGTAAACTTCTTGGAATTGTGAATTGAAACATTTAATCAATCTACACGATTAGATTTGTTTTCATTCTGCTTTCTATGCTAAAAAAAAAAAAAAAAGAGAGATCTCATATCATTTAATACTCTTCTTTGTATAGCTTGTCTGTTTCTAATATGACTTTTCCATGCTAACCAACCTGGGGATCAAACTCTGGGAACCATATATGTTTTAACCATGATTTAATCCACTAAGCCATGTGACCCTTGGAGACTACAGTAGAATCCTTTTGGAGCGTAAAAACTAAAATGTCTATACTGAAGTGGTGGATTCTGAATGACTTTTCTTTCTTAATCAGAGGCTCCCAGTTGCAATCTATGCTAGATCTACTGAGGTGGCTGTCAGAACCTAACGTGTGTTCTTTCAGATGTTTTATCCTCCAGTATTGTTCTATATTATTTTGAATTTATTCCTCTTCCTACAGACCAAGATGAGCATATTGGTCCAAATGTAAAGATATGTAATAATTAAAATTCCTCATCTGAAATTTCTGATAAATGAAATAAAATTATTTTGATTTTACACTTGTTATAAGGAATGCAAAAGAAAAATAAAATGAAAGCTTATAGCAGATTTTCAATCTTTCCCAAAATTTTCCTTTAATTGGTAAGAAAGTGAATCTATCATATATTTATCATTTTAGTTTATTATTACTCAGTTAATGGTGTGAGATGTAAGCTTGATTTTATTCAAGTATCAAAAATTGATTTTTGAATTTGAAAAATGCTGATTTTAAAATCTTTTTCTAGTGTTTTATCAGGTAATTTGTGCACTTGTAAAATGAATATCAATGGTGAAAACTTAATACTTATGAAATCAAGGAAGGCAACTGTTCAATTGTAAAAGAGATAAATGGGGAAATCAGGACACAATATTTGACCCCCTCAACCAATGTCTTGACAAGGAGATATTATTAAGCATCTGGTGAATTTCCCCACTAATTCTATCAAACAATATTGTGTGTTAAGAAAATGTCTCCAGGTTCCTATAGGATCAGAAAAAAAAGTTTACATTGGATAATAGAAATGCTTAAATATTACAAAACAATAAATTTCTGCATCATTTGATGATCACTTGAAAATTGGAAGTCGGTTTCCAATCAATTAAGTGATTTCTAAAAAGTCGATCAAAGTGAAGAAACTTTCTGAAGCTTAATGATTTCTTATTTTTGATAGACAATCAGAGATGTTGAGAAAAAGATAAAACAACAGTTCAAAGAATTGATGAAATGTGGAAAATCAAACTAAAAATGGATGCCCATTTAAGTGAGTAGAAAAGAAAAGCAAAAATTCGTTTTTTTTTTGTTTTTTTTCGTTTTTCCTCCTCTTTTACTGCTGGAATACAGATACTGACTTTCATTTCTTTTGGCCACAAACAACAGACAAAATGAGTAACCAAAAGAATTGGGTGTTTTGCTAGTCAAAGAGTAAAGTTCCCTTAAAATCAGTTTCTCTACTTTTTAAAACAGCTTCACTTTTTCTTTTTTTTTTTTTTTTTTGTTCATTTCCCATCCCGCAATAAATAATCTAAATTTGAAATTCATCTTTCTCTTCTGTCTCATAAAAACTTGGAGGTAAAAATCAATGAACAACAGGACTTCATAGAATATCAAATGTCTATTTTAATATTATTTTTACCAGTTACTTTTTATAAGTCTGTAGCTGCATAAATCCATTTGGAGAAGTTCATTATCAACATTATTGTAATTTAGAGGTTGGTCAAAGCTAACACGTTTCAACAATAAGGACTTTAGAGTTTTATTTTCTAAATTTAAGAGGGGCAAAAACCATTTTCTGATGGGCTTTGATGATTGGTTGTGTACAGCATTCTTTTTTTCTTTTCATTATTACTCTATCCATTCACCTTTCCTCACCAATATTAACCAGTTGAGATCAAATCAAAGAAATGGAAATACAGAAAAAGAAAAACTAAATTGTCTCTCACATTTCTCTCAATAGTCATGTTTGTTCTTTTTTGTTCTTTCTCACTCACACACACACACACACACACACACACATTTCATTCTGCAAAATATGTTCTGTTTGTTCCCCCAAAATAAAAGTTTTATTTTGTTTTTTTTGTTTTTTTAACTTATGATTTGATTTTCAAATTAATTTTGGAGGAGATTAAAAAGGGAGCTTTCACTCCACCACCAACATTAAATATATTCAGAATTTCAACAACTTTTGTTTTCATTTCCTTTAATATATTTCTTTATATATATATATATATATATATATATATATTGAGAGAAAGAGAGAGATTCCCCAAGGAAAAATAATTTTTTCCAAAAATTTTAACCAAAAAGTTAATATCAGTCCAAATCTATATAAATATACATTGTTACCACAATGTAAATTAATGAAGAGGCCTGTACAATCAGAAATGCATGAAGTGTACATAAAGATTCAAATCAATGAAGTATTTAGACATTACTCCTAATCAACAACCTTGAACTTCATTTGAATTTGAAGCTGAATGTACAAATTCATAAGAATCAGTTTATTCCGTGATGTACTTAAGTGGTTGGCAGAAATATGAAAGACTTCCAGTTTCAGAGTCTGTGGCTGTTTGCAGAGTTCCATGTCTGAAAATATTGAGGAGTGATTGGGTTAAAGACTAAGTAAGAGTAGTAAATGTAGTTAGTTGCCACGGCAACAGATGCCTTTACCAATTGTACACTGATCCCCACATGTTAGCTTGGCTGCCAACCAGGGCAGCTTGTCTCAGGAGACAGCCAAAGAGAAGAGCATGATTCGTGCTGGATTGAAGTACATGTGCGAGGAGTGGAATACAAGGGACCAAATGTAGGGAATAAAGAATTCCTCTGGTGACTCCTCTTCAACATATTTGAAACGGAGCTCTGGAAATTTCTGAAATTAAAATACAGCAGTATTCTTTCAGTTAAAATATTGCATTTATTTTCTTTTCAGTTAGAAAGTTTCTATGGGGTAACATAAGATAACAGTTAAGATATGTGCATGCACATGTGGGATGAAAATCTTGGTTTAATGACTAAAATGTAAAACAAGAACCAAGAACTGAGACTAAAACTGAACAGTTAAATTAATTTGTTGCCCTGCTTCATATTCAGCTAGAGTCATTTTTTTTGTTTATAGAAGAACTGCATTGCTCTCCCAAAGCTGTTGCATACACTTTATAATGGCTGAACTTTAAGCTACCATACAGATTGAAGCAAAAAGTCAAATGCAACATCAAGTTTGATGATATTTAGACAGTAACAAGCCTCTCTTTCTGTTCGGTATGGTGGATATGACTTTCAGTTTCCAAGAATTGTGACTGTATCAGTCAATCTCTCACCATTAGTCTCTTGATATCCACTTATTCAAAATGTTCTTTACGACATAATTGAGCCTGAAGTTGATGATGAGAATACTGGAACTCTTTGCTTTTATATTCAAGCTGGTTATGATATTTGTTTCCTTGTCTTCACAGGTGTGTTGCACTGTTGTTACTGGGGATCCTCTATCAACCAATTTGGCCTATATCTTCCTCCCACCTCTTTTTGTCTTAGCACATGCCATCTTCCTTGGCATGTTGCCCTCAATGATATCACTATAAGAGGTTTCACTGTAACAGATTTGTTCAAGCCAGCTGGTTTGAATCAGAGAGACTGTAAATGTCTAGATAGAATAACAAGCTTTGCTATTCACAGGAGACCTATCACAACAGCTTTGGATGTTACCTGTAGCAACTTTTTAATGAGTTGCAATTTGACAACAACAATCACTTTGCTTGGTTTTGTTGCTTGACAGGAGTGTAAACCAGTGAAATACCATTCCCCGTCTGTTAGATATGAGGGTGTGCCTATTGTGGTTGAGATGTCCATCACTATTACTCTCCACAGTGATCAAAATTATTCACTAAATAGGCACTATAGCAGCCAAACTCTGCATCATGGAAAAGCAATTTACTGTTCCAAAAAATAAATCATCCACAGCAATGCACTTGATATAATGACTGAAGGACCCCAATGAGGATTAATTCAACTGATATCAATAGAATTTAGTTTATTAAAATATTGCATATTTGTTATTTAAAAAAATATACAGTCATCAGAAACTTTACATACACAAGAGATGATTATTGTATTTATTTTGTTGTTATCAATGATTTTGAGGCAAAGTTTAACAAATGTACCAGCAAAATAATGGTGTGCCAAAAAGATGAGTTTTCTCTTGACACTGCTATTATTCTAGACTCACTTGGCAACTTTTTTTTTTTTTAATTTAAAAAAGCTATTTTTAGAATTTTAATGTAACCCAAACATATGAAACTGGATTTATACATTTTCTTTTTTTATTCAAGAACTGACAAAAATATTAAACACTATTCATTTATTAGATTTTTTTTTTTATTTACAAGAATGCTATTTTTACAAGACTATAAAAATATGTGAAGCAACTACAATGCAATAGTTATTATCATAAAGAAAGAATTTTTGTTTTATTAATAAATTTATAAAAATGTCTGAACTATATAACAAAAAAAAATTTAAATAAGCACATAATGACAAGTAACTAATTATAAATTAAAAAAAAGAAAATGTATTTTCCAGACATTATACGTTTTCTTTTAAGATTATGTTATGTCTTTAATTTTCTGGGAGGGAGGTTATACATTCATCATAAAATAGGCAATTATTTTTCTTTTATAGTTCAGACATTTTTATAAATTTATTAATAAAAATGTTTGTTTCCATAGATATTTCTTAACAATATGTTAAATGATAAATATTTTAGTATAGTTAGTTTCCATATACAATCTAATAAATTGTGTTTAATACTTTTGTTGTCAGTTCTCAAAGAAGAGAGAGAGAGAGAAATGTATAAATCCAGTTTCATATGCTGGGGTTTTACTAAAATTCTGAAAATAGCTTTTGAAAACAATACAAATTGCTGAGAGTACCATTCAGTAATAGCAGTGTCAGGAGAAAAACAGTTTTTGTGGTTATGTTTATTAAACTTTGCCAGCTTTTGTATAAACAAAAAAAACAATTGTTAAAAAAAAAAGTACAGAAAGGATCACACACACATATACAGTGTAACCCGGATATAAGAGAGTTGTCGGGAACAGAGAAGAAGTCTCTTATATCCAGGTTTCTCTTATATATGGGTTTGGTCTATTTTGTTTAGGTAAGTATGGGCTCTAATTTGGGACCAGAGAAAATCTCTCTTATATCCGGGTTACACTGTACATATTTACAATATAGAAAGTATGTGCGTAAAGTGTCTCAAAAAGAAATTATCAATTTATTGTCAAAATTCATTTAAATCATTCACGACTTTAAAACTATTTTCTGATATTTCTTTATGTAGAACACATGAACGTTTTGATTAGAAGATATTTATTGAAATAAGTTCATTCATCTTAGAAAAGAAGGAGATATTCTTTTATACATACAGATATACATATTTAGTAGCAAGAGTACAGTAAGTTATAGCAGAATATATTCCTATAAACTTTATGCACTTGTTATGTTCATTAATGTTGATCCTCAGGATTTCATATTTATAAATAGCAAATTCAAATCAAATGATTAGCAAATTTACATATAGAATTTCAATAATTTCACATTATTATAATTGGAAATTCAATATTTAATATGTGTTTATGATGAAACCATTAGCAGTAGCATGTTTTGAAAGTAATTTAATGCTTATAAAACCATTCAGTAAAACTGATCAATACATTGATCACATCATTTGAAATCAGTTGTGACACCTTAAAGAAGAAACATTAATGTTGCATATTTCTTTCCTAGACAATTATCATAAAGTAAAGAAAAGTTAACATCTTTTTTCTTTTACCTTTAATCTATCTTTCCTAAATTGTACAGCTCCTTCCTTGATAGTCGTCAACACCTCGGACGGAGAAAGATTTTGTCCATTTAGTTCAAGTCTAGAAGAAAAGTATGACAAAACCTAGAGGGGGAAAAAAAAGGAAGCAATTTAAAATCATAATACGATAAAATAATAGAAAAAACAGATAAAACTGAAGCCTTTAAAATATATTCATTATAACTTTTTAAATGATCCTAAGAAGCATTGGAATTCAATATTGTTACACATGGCTTCAGTTTGTAGACTTTAAAATATAAAAGTGACTGCATAAATGTCTAAGTATAATAATAAAAAACACATTGGATTTGATTAAAATAATCAATCAAATATTGTAAGGGATTAGAAAATAAATGTATCAAGTGTTAGTAACCAAATATTAGTAAAACTTGTTATGATATTATTTCCTTTCAGCTCTATTTTGCAAACAATGTGTGTGTGAGTGTGTGTGTGTGTGTGTGTGTGTGTATATATATATATATATATATGTGTATGTATATATATGTCATCCACAAATAGACTGTTGCGCTGTATCACAGCGCATCAGTGTGGCTAGATATCCAATTTCCTCAAACCAGGATCAAAACTCGACCGATTCGGCAACAGTTAGAGATTTTACCCCTAAGGTATCAGCACCTGGTAGAGGGGAAGGTGAATTTTTGTGCATTCATTCTTTGAATGAACATGCCAGTGACCGAGAGGGATCAATTCGTAGAAGAGCTTTGCATTATCAGGAGTAGTAGTCACTGTTTACAAATTCACACTTTCTCTCCAAAGTGCTCAACAGAAATTAATTTTTCAGGGATGTTTATGTATGCATCTGTGTGTGTGTGTGTATATATATATATATATATATATATATATATATATTATGGGTGTGTGGCTAAGTGGTTAAAATGTTCACATTCTGACCATGAGACCCAGGTTCGAATCTCAACATAGCTGATTTGTCAGGAAGGAAACTTCCTGATGTCATTGGAATGGAGGGGTCGATTCCAGCATGCAGCACGTTTGGAAAGTGCCTGAAAACCATACCACAGGCTGACCCAAGCCTTGTGAGTGAAATTGGGTAGACAGAACCCGTGGGCCCATCAATAGCTGTGCTAGCACAAAGTCACAAGTCATCATGGCTGAGGGACTGAGTGTGCTCGCATAGTTCAAATTGTTGATCATGCTAGAAAACATGGTCTTTCTCAGAAACTGTAACTAAAGTCTGCTCAGCATAGTTGCAGTATAAACCACAGGTGCGCTCTGTGGGTGTTGAATAAACACAAATGTGCCTGAGCAAGCATCTGCAACAGGGATTAGCTAGCTGCCCTAGTAGACAGGTGTCCTCGAATACGAGTGGCCACACAGTTTCATAAGAGGTAATAGGATCAAAATATGTCTGATTGAAAGAGTAAGCATCTTCATTAAGGCATACTTGAAATACCCAATTATTTATTCAATATTAACAATAAGCAAAATTACAGTTAAGTAATAGCATCTGGAGTTATTAAGGCAACTTATCCAAAAAGCAACCTTTTTTCATTGTCTGTCACTAAAATGCTGCAAACATGCCTCCCTTTGCTTTATTCTTTCATCTTTCCAGTTTTAAATTTATTACATTCATAATGTAATTTATTCTATACTGTGCATTAATTAAATTTATTGATATCACACAATATATGAGGTGGTTAAAGATGTGCAATGAGGATTACACATGAAGTCATTAAGCTGTTTTTTGTTTTTTAAAATCATAGACAATTCAATTAAAACAGTTATATTAAGTTAACAAATAATAATAAATATTTAATGTATCTAAAAACATGAATCCATAAAAGAAAAGAAAAAAAAAAAAACAGAATCTTTAGAAATCATAAAAAAAGAGCCTGCATAGAGAATGGGAAGAAAGAGTGATTCACACAAAATGGAAAAAAAAAAAAGGTATCAAATAATATCAAATGAAAAGAAATTAAAATAAGGAAAGTTTGTAATAAAAGCAAATGGGTTTTTTGGGTTTTTTTTTTTTTTGTGGAATATTGAATATTTAAGAAAGTGTTTTTCAGAACATTAATCAAAATAAGTATTTCTCACCGTGTCAATGTTCTGTATAATATCCTGAAATGTTGGATGTGTTCGGAACATTGTGAATAATTCCTTCTGATAAAGCAGTGAATAGACAAGGTTAGGATTGTGTAATATATTGCTGCACAGACAAGAATTAATTATCTCAAGGACCATACGGATCACTTCTTCAAGTACAGCTAAGTCTTGCACCTGCAGAAACAAAAAGAATCAATTACAATAATCATAAGCAGTAAATTGCAGATACCAAATTTAATGTTGGCATAGCTTAATAGTAATAGCTTAGTTCTTATGGTCTATTTAGAATGGGGGTTACATTTTGTAACAAGTCTGAAATTGAATTCCCTTGTTTCAAAAGTAAAACAATGGAACAGTTTAATATTGTTCAGTCCTTAATATTCTGAAAAGATAGAAGTGCAGAAAATTCAAAATGATTGATTTTCTAATTTAATTCTACCAATATTGGTGCACAGAAATTTAAACTTTTCAAAAGACTAAGGAACATATCAGACAGAAATGGTTTCATAAAGCACAATGTGCATAACTTTTTTATGCATTTTATAAACTGGAGACAAAGAGAACAGAAATAACGCAACATATTTCCATTATTCATCTATCAATAAATTACGACTTACATAATCTTGGTCAATATCAGATTCCAAAGCTTTGATTCCATTCTCTTGCAACGTTTCTTGAGGTCCATCGATGGCAGCTACACGAATCTGTTCAATCAAGCGTGTGTGCTTCTTACACAATTGAGCAAAAAGACTGAGGAATGAACATGCGCAAAAAAAAAAAAAAAAAAAAAAAAAAGATCTGTTAAAAAAAACATGACATTCATAATATAGGATTCTATATTTTCTTGCTTATTTTTTATGCTATTTGGCTAATTTATTTACCAGTTTATTCTGAAATGTGAAGCAAAGAAGTTTCTTTTTGTATTCTCTTGTCAAAAAGTAAAATAATCTGTTGTTTGAAGTAACAGAAAATCCTGATCAACAAAACACATTCATTCTATAAAAAATGTATGGGATCTACTTTATTTTTTGACTGCTTTACAAACAGCATCAACAAAAAGAAAGAGTTTTGTGTTCTTATCTCTTGTGATATGATTATTTACTACTTCCCACTTCTTTTATATTATAGGATTTTACAAGAATAACAAGTAGTTAGGATAGTTAAGTAATAAATAGGTGGATTTTGGTCGGTCCAACATAATTCCAAAATGTGTTTCACCACAGCCCAACCATTTCCAGGAGGTGAGTATGACTGATACTTAAATGATAAAAACTTGGACCAATAAAATGACTGCTCAGTGTTTTTAATAGAAAGTGGGTTTCAAAAAGAAAGAAAAGGGAGAAAGAGGTTGGAAATCCAAGAATCAGAAAAGAATGATATTAAAACTTTGATTGAAACTTTGTGTTTTTAATGAAGTTGGGAAGAAGTCAAAATTGAAACAAAGAATCAGAGACTGGAAAAGAATGTCACACATTGCATTTCTGATTTGGAGAAATACTTCATATTTTATGATTTGTATATTCCCCAAATAGTTGAACGTAATTATGGTCATATTTTAAAACATAGAAACAGGAAAAAGTTATGACTTGGTGTTGAAGATTATAAAATGTTATTTTATAATTATTAACAATGAACTGATACTTCTCCAACAGAGCAGGTGTTTTGTCAGATCATAGGAAATAGACATGGGTTTGTGGGCCAAAATCAGCAAGTGTTCAAAAGAGTCAACAATTAGCATGTCAGTATTTGAAGAAAGGCAATGGATGCCATTTCCATAGAGTGAGATGTTAAAAAAAAAGAGAATACCTTCTCTGAAAGATGTTTTTCATTCTTTATCTAATTATCCATGGGATGAAAGAAGTGGAATAAAAAAAAAAAAAGAAGGAAACCCAAATGTCTTCTGTGATTGCTTGCCTGATATATGATGTTGCCATCAAGAAAGCTAATCATAACAAATGTGCATTTAGTGTGATATCTTCCCCAACTGAAGCAAAAGAACTAGAAAACAAATATGGGAGTATGGCCATCAAGACCACAAGAATAGTTTGAACATGGAATTGTGTTATTACAAGTTTACAGTCATTGATTACATTTAAATAAAATCACTTTGTTGTTTCAATAATAAAAATAAAAAAAAACAAAAAAAAATAATAAAAAAACTGATGTCATTTTTATTCATTTACGGTTAAAACTAAAATAAGATTTCTCCCATTAATTCACAAGTGTAGATTTTAATGATGTTTTTGATGCTTAATCCAATGGCACAATATATTTTGATAAGTATTCTAAGAAAAGAGAATTATTCTATTGTACAGTAGTGAGCTCTTTCAGAAATACTGGATTATACAATAGGAAAAAAAACGAATGTCAATATTTTCAAAGAAAAACAAAAAGGTTGTTTCACCTGACAATTCTCTGTGCTACATAAGGATGCAGATTATTAAAATGTGATGACATATTAGCCAAAGCTGCCAGGCAGTTGGTGTGCAAATATTTATCCTGAAATGGACAAAAATTGATAAGCACTAAATTGAACACAGGTGTAGAAAAGAGAAAAATAATATAAAATACTTCAAATTAAAAATTACCTACTGTTTTTATTTAAAGAGAAATGCAGGAAATGAACAACGTCAAACACTAGTCATTAACAAACAGAATAAGTACTGTAAATAAATTTTATATCAGTTTCCTTGGCTAATATTTGTGACCATAAATTATCAAGTGAACATTAGATTTAGCTTTCATGGTAATTGGACTCTAACCACCAATCCACAGGTATTATATGCTTATAATAATTTATTTTTTAAAAAACTGAAGTGTTCCTTGATGTTAGATTATAGAGATTATACATGAAAATCAGGTTAGTGCCAATGACAAGATGATAGACAAGCTTCAAAGAGAACTTCAATATACACACTGACATGCCAAAAGTCATGGGATGAGTGCCTAGTGTCACATAGGACTTGCTTTAGCCTGACAAAGTGTGCTGGCTACACAATTCTTGCCAGTCTGAATCCAATAACATGGTGTATTATCTTGCTGAAATAACCTATTGTTGTTAGGGTAGTGAATGTCCAGAAATAGATGCAAATGGTCAGTGCAGCATATTGTTTTCTGGTCAATGATGTGTTAGGCAGACCGAACACACGTCTTGTGAACAACTGGTCATTTTTGGGATCTGCACCACACCCTATCATCAGCTTAAAACAACTGGAATCATGACTCAGGACCATGTCACATTCTGCCAGTCATCTAGAGTTCAATTAGAAATGTTAGGAGACCAGATAAGGTGCTATACCTGGTGTTATGGTGTTTACTGATGAATCTTCTGCTCCCATATTCTACAGTAGCTAAAGAACACTAACCTAAGCAGCTGAATCTGCATCTGGTACTACCTATATTCAATGGAACCAGTGTCACTTGTCTCTTATTACAGACAATTCTAACCAGATGCCTCTGGTCATGAGCCCTATGGACCCATGGCTAGCCATTGCACTATCCATCTATATCATTAGTAGATACATGACACTGTTGATAAAGAAATGTCAAATGTCTCCACAATTTGAGAAATGGAATAAGTTCATCCAATATGGCAATATTATGTCTCATTCAAACTTCAATAATTCATAAGCAGGCCAACAAGTGTTCACATTGATTCATTAGATGTACAAGTGATATAGGCCTGGGTATTTCCATGACATCAAGGTACGGTGGGGGCAACTACCTTTGATGTATACAATTTACAAAGATTTTACTGATGCCATCAAAAATAACTTTGAGAGAAACTGTAGGAATTTTATGACCAAAAATATGTTACAACTTTGAAAATTTGATTTTTCATCCTCTAAGTTCAAAATATTGTTTTAACCAACTGTGATCCTCCTTCTCCTTTGATGCAGCTTTCTAAAATTTGACCCTACATTCCTTTCTATAATGTTCAAATACTGGTTGATAGTGATATACACTTATATCAGTTTGTATGGACATCATTCTGTGAAGCAGTTCCTCACAAACCAAATGACCTTTCTCTAGGAGTTCCACTTTACATGATTAGTTGGCAATGGCATAAAAATTTCAAATTAACTTCTTGGTTCAAAACTAATGTCTCAAGTAATTTCAAAGGTCAGATCACAAACTCAGTATGAATATACTTTACTAGAAGTATTTTACTTACATTAGAAAATACTTGTTAATACTCATATAACTCATTAATATAGATAAATATCAATGTTATGTCGTGTATATTGCTTAGTAAGCATTTCACTTCCGTTCTAGTTGTCCATTTATATTAAGAGCTACCTGCTCATATGCAAATCATACTAATTTGCATATCACTACATCTCCCTATAAGGGAGGGGCCTTATGCCGCGAGTACTTCTTGTACTTCTTCTTGTGCCCTCCTGAACATCTTCCTTTATCTCTCTCCTTTCCCTTAGAGATCTAGATCTATCACGTCTTTCCCTATAATCGAATTGTTCCTCTTGCATACTCTGGTCTTTCTCTTCTAACTTGTCCCATTCTACTTCTTCCTCTTCTAACTCATCCCTCTCTACTTCTTCCTCTGCAGTTTCATTCTGCATTAACTCTTCTGTTACGTCAATAATGGGCATCTCTGAAGGCATTTCCTCATCCGATTCTTCTCCTTGGGATCTTATTTGGTCAGCATGAGCTAGAATACTGTTCCCATTTTCTTTATTTAATATTGCAGTATTATATCCTTTCTGCATAATAAATTCGGCTGACTCGGGTTGCATATTCCTGTTTCTTTTGTACCACATCTTTTGATTTGTGGCATATGACATTGTCAAAGGGGACCTAATTGTCTGCCCATTAAGGCAGATGCACTTTCCGGCCTACCTGCATGTGGAATTGTTCTATAACTTAATAGTAGTCTTGGTAGAAAAGTATCGACATCCTCCTTCTGTTGCAAGCATGCTTTTTATGCCCTTCTTTACAGTCTGGACCATCCTTTCCGCTATCCCATTACTTTGAGGGTGGTAGGGAGGGGTCTTGTAAGGTCTGCATCCTATTTTTCTTAACCATTCATGCAAATCAACATCCACAAATTCTGGTGCGTTATCAGTCACCAATGTTCTCGGTGTCCCATTCCTCGAAAAATATTACTCTTAATATTTGTTTTACGGTGGTACTTTTTTTATCAGGTACTCTCACCACTTCAGGCCAACCTGAATATCGTCTACTAATATTAATAATAGTCCTATCCCCTTGACATAGGCATGGTCCATGTGTACTCTGCTCCAGGGTTCTACTTCTCGGGCCATACATGTATTTTCTTTTGCTTAAAATTCCTAAGTTCTGTGCATTTTTGCATCTTCTTCACGTAGTCTTCACGCCTCTTGAGTACCCCGCCACCAAGCTTCCAATTTTAATCTTCTTTATGTAGCTGCCACTCCACAATGTACGCCATCGTGTACACTTTTTTATAACCTGTCTCCTCTGTGTTTCTGGGGAACTATCAAGTCTCCCTTACATATTATCCCATTTTCTATAGTCATTCTATGTCTAATTTCTTTGAATGGTCTTTTTTCAGCCATTGAACAATTTCCCCAGCGATTCTGTTTTATCCTTGACATTATTCTATTTAACACTGGGTCATTTGTAGTTTCAGTAGCCATTTTATCTACAGATATTACATCGGTTTCTCTGAGGTGCAAGAATGTGTCTTCAAATTCCTCGTCATTTTTGTCCTTCTCTTCTATAAAACCTCAATCTAGATAAGGCATCAACGTGCGGTATTGTATTCCCTTTAACATATTCAATGTCAAAGTCGAATGCCATCAGTCTAATCGCCTAACGCAATATTCTGGACGTTGTAACTTTTGGTAGCTCTTTTCTTGGGTTGAAAATAAATTCCAGTGGTCTGTGATCACTTTTCAACAAGAATTTTTTTCCCATCAAAACTGTCTTGCTCTATCCGTTGTCCACACTATGGCTAGTGCCTCCTTTCTATATTCAATAATTGTGTTCAGTTGTTGTTAATCTCCTCAATAAGTACATTATGGGATGCCCATCTTGTGACAAAATACCAGATATGGACTGCTCACTAGCGTCAGTAGTTAGAGTTATGTCCTTCTTAGGGCCAAAAATTTGTACTATTGGCTTTTTTTGCCAGAATCTGTTTTAAGTTTTCAAAGGCTTTCTGTTGGTGTTCTAACCAAATGAATTCCACTTTTTTTTTTTTCTTAACTTAGCAAATGGTTCTGTCAACTCATTATATTTTGGTACATATTTTCTATAAAAATTTACCAAACCTAAGAAGGACTCCAACTCTTTTTTTTTTCGTGTAGCAACTTTTAGAATTTTCTCTATTAATACTTTATCTGGAGAGATCCTTCCTTTGATATTGAGTAACCCAAAATGATATTTCATTACTGTTGGTTACACACTTTTTTTGTATTTATTGTCATACCAGCGTCTCTTAGCCGGTTCAATATATTTTCAGTTTTTTTTCTTTAAATCATCTTCATTTAAATCTCCAACACATATATCGCCTTGATAACAGATGGTATTCTCAACATTTCTTATTACTTTTTCAATAGCTTTTTGAAAAATTGCACTTGTTGCTTTTTATGCCATACGGCATTCTTTTCCACCTTAACAGGCCTATAGGTGTGTTTATGGTCGTCACTTCTTTAAAATTTTCATTTATCGGTATTTGGTGGTAAGCTGATTTTAGGTCTATCTTCGAAAATACTTTCATTCCAGCAAGTTTATGTAAAGCTACTTCCACATTCGGAATAGGGTACGAGTCAGCACAAACTTTATGGTTCACCCCTATTTTATAATCTCCACAAATTCTCAGTTTACCATTTTTTTTTTTTTCAATACCACAATGGGTGATGCCCATTTACTTCCTCCTGGAGGGGCAGGTTCTAATAAGTCTTCCTTTATTAGCTTTAAATTTAGCTATTACCAACGGTAATAAATGCACTGGTATTTTTCTCGCCTTGTAGTAGGAGGGGGAAACATTTTCTTTTAATTTCAAGCTAGCTTCATAATTTTTTAATTTTTCTGTTTTTTCTATTTCTATCTCATTAATCAACTTCGTTGAATTTATTTTTAACACATCATTCCCCAGTAGACCATGCGTTTTTCGGCAATTTGTAACTATAATGGGTACTATTTCATATTTTTCTTTTAATTCTATTGAACCTTCAAAGTAACCCATAATTGCTATAATCGAGCCATCAAACTGACGTAGTTGTACGTTGGTTTTTTTTTAAAAACGGTTTTCCCATTTTTTCCCACAAATTTCTGGGTAATATCGTGACCTCACTACCTGTGTCGATTTGCATTTCGACAATACAGTTGTTGATTTTCACTTTTATTTTTGTATCTCCGTTCTTAGATCCAGTATTTTGTATATTATCCTTTTTTACATTAAAAATCTGTCTATTTTCATCCTCTACTCTTTCCACATTTTTCGTTTTACATACTTCTTTGAAGTGATTCTTTTTTAAACACTTTGAACACGTCTTTCCAAAGGCTGGGCATTTTTTCTTTTTTTTTTTCATGAATTTTTCCACAGTACGCATAATTTTTTCTTTTGTTTGTACTGTATATGTTTCAGCCATTATTTCTTCGGATTTATTTTATTTTGGTTGTAGGTATGTATTAATTCCTGCTGTTGTATAAATTCTATACACATATTCAAAGGCATGTTTGTAAGTTGTAACTGTTCCATTAACTTATATCTATGTGCTGAATTATGCATACCTTCAATTAATCTTAGTTGGATTAATTCTTCTTCCGTTGTCTGCTCTCCTGTTCCTAGTTTTTCGAATTCACAGTATTTACTCGCACTTCTTAACCGGTGTAAATATTTTACTATCGGTTCATCCACTTCCTGCTTCATTGCCATAAGCTTGGTCCTTTCTGCAATCACCAGTCTTTTCTTTGGCCTCATGTTTCCTTTAATAACCTGACTTATTTCTTTGAAAGTCATTTCTTCTAGTTCTCGAGGGTAAACCATTGTAGCAACCTTCATAATCGCTTCACAACCAGCGGTAGCCATGAACAAGTCGGTGATTTCATTTTCCCCTCCTGTGTTTTTGTTGTCTTTCAACTTTTTACATCTGGCATTAGCAGCAAAGCAACGAATCCATGTGTCTACGTACTCTGGGTCTTCAAGGACCAAAGAGTATCCTATCGGCGACGCCATTGTTATGCCGTGTATATTGCTTAGTAAGCATTTCACTTCCATTCTAGTTGTTGTCCATTTATATTATGAGCTACCTGCTCATATGCAAATCATACTAATTTGCATATCACTACAATCAATAAAAATACATAATTAAAAAAACAAAAAACAGATGGCAATGATATTTTGCTCTGTTGTTTTAAAGTTACTAAGCCAAAGAATTTTCCCTTTTTCATTTCTTTATTAATAGCATGAATTGTTTTTTCTTATTCTCCATTAAATGACTTGTTAAATGTGAACTGAGACAATCTTAAATTAATGAACATAACTGTGGGATTTTTTTTTCAATCAAGACAATTCCAAATTCCAAACTGTAGCAGAATACTCACCCTCATCCGGGTCATGTTGTACTGGATTGTTCTGATCACCACAAGGATTAATAACCCTCCTAATGTAATTTCATTGATCGTCCTTTCTTTGAACCAAGCAACCGTTTTTATAACCTGCCAAGAACACACACAAATGAATTCTACAAGAGATATACAGCTTTAACTATTTGTTTTATAATACAAGACGCTATTAGTTATAACTTATAATAATGATTCTAGACAACATTTGTACAATCCTAGAGAAAACTATTATTTCTTTGTTTTTCAACACTATTTTCCATGTCCTACTTTCAAGAATTTTTTTGTCATTTATTTAAATAAAACTAAAATAAATAAATTACATAAAACAGTGGAAATACTGTTTAGCAAAATGAAGATATGCCATTTTTATAGAAGGCAGAATGAATCAATAAAAATGATTACTATATTTAAAGGTTCATAAGACACTTAAACCAAAGGTGTCCTCAGACAGAATAGAAAAATAGAATTTGGTAACAACAATTGAGATAATTTGAAACATACATACAATATCATGGATTGCTTTATTGAACAGATCATCTTCACTAAGAATGAGGAGGATAATGAGTGCCATATATATATGATGTGAATTCCTGTCTTGGGCATGGTACAAAATCTGCAGAATTGGCATCACCTGAAATAGAGGAAAAATAAAGACTTTCTAGTAATTGCTTCATCAGGCAATGTAATGAACAGAAGAGACAGAGTGGTGCCAAGTCAAATTGATAAAGGAAAAGTTAGAAACTTCTAAGTCAGTTTGTTTTATTCTTGATATAGTAATTGGTAAAATTCATTACCATTTCAAAAAGTTTCTGAAGACATTTCATCTCTTTGAGATATATTAGGTTAATGCAAAAGTTCAGAGCACCATCTTTTGCACAGTATTAGAGAAATTTTAATGTCTCTAAAATTTGTGTATCTTTCCATTGCTTATATAAATCAGTCAATTACAGTGTACTAATTATAAACCTTAAGAACAATTAAAAAACTAAGAAAATGAGTTCCAGGTCAACTTATGGAAACAAACATTAATTAATGTTTAAACACATGTTGTTCTCTTCTTGCTCAACACAATCATTTGGGAACAAGATTGTCATGAACAATCAAGAAAACAATGGATTTGTTAGAAAGATTAAAAAGAAAATTGTAGTTTCACATAGGATAGTCATTAATCCAAATTATATCTATTGTAGGGAAAATGTGTTCTTTATTTGTATTATGATTCAAAGGCAAGTCTTTCTTCTAAATTGTTGGAACCTGAACAAACTTACTATGCAATAAATATGTCACAAGCGAATCATAGATTTCATTTATATAAAACTGTTCAATCATAATTCAAGATAGACACTGACTCTTTAGCTCAAATCATAGAGGTTTAGTTGGAAAAAAATACAAAACTTGTAAAGCCTTATCCAGATAAGCAAGTTCAGACATCAGTTGTCATTATTTCTGAGTATATGTTTTGTGTTGTGATTCCTTCCTTAGGCACCGTGTGTGATGCATGCTTTGGTGATCATGTCTCTTTTCAATTCATGAATGACTTGGCAGAAGAATTTCCATAGTAGGTTGCTGTTACTTTCTGTGATAGACTAGTTGCTAACCAAGGCTATAGGACCCAGTCTGTTCTACTATTTAACCCAAAGTTGGAGGTAGAAGAGATGGATTCACATCATTCCCAAGGGTATTCGTGCATAACTGAATGTAACAAACTGGACTGGAATTTGAACACAGCCACCAGACGACGCACAAATCTATTATTGCGATAGGTTTAGCTAAAGATAAGAACTGTAGTTACTCTGACAATGGATGTAATAGCTTTTTCCTCTTGACTAAGTAGTACAGCAATTTTAACAGTGTGGCTTACTCAAGTGCTCACACTCTCTTGACTCCATTAAGCATTATGATATGTTGACAATGAAATATTTTTATCAAAATACTTGGTGATAAACAGAGTGCAGGAATGTGGAGTCACACCTGTTTGAAGAGTGCTAAGTGAACACAAATTATAAATATAAAATAATTATAAATATAAATGGAATTGGGAGAGTTCAAATTCCAGCTGAGAGCAGCCTCAGCTGGAATTTGAACTCTGCCAATTCCATTTTCCATTCCAATAACAAACATTGCCACCAGATCTCTGTGTGTGTGTGTGTGTGTGTGTATATATATATACATATAAAACAAAACAAATCCTTCTTTTTTTTCTTTTTTCTTTTTTTTTTAACTAAAAATGCAGCCAAATGAGAGTCAGTCACAAAAGCCATAATATTAATACAGGTATTTATTAAATGAAAAGTTATTTGAGAAATTATGAAGTAACAAGCAGTAATGTGAAGATGCACTGGCTTCATAAGATCTCCAACAAAATGATAAACTGAAAGCCAAAGCACAACGCAGTTCAAATCAGTTTTTTTAAAGCAAGTTTAAAAACCAATAGGCAACTATTTAGATGGCCAGTGGTTAATTGTGCATTTTCATGAAAATGACATTTTTCCAAAGGATTTACTTAGACACATATAGCCTCAATTATTTTTCTTCTTGTTGACATAAATAAAATATCTTTAAATGTCTTTTATATATTTAAGCAGAAGAAAACAGAAATAGGTTCTTCAATCTTTTAAAAGTATTTTTAACTGATCAAGAATAATATCAGAATTATCAAATAATCATAGATGATTCATTTTGATTGAGCTTTTTTTTTTAAAGCCAGACAACAATGTATTTCTTTCAGCATATCCTGTCAGAGAAGCAAATATGAACTAAGTGATACTTACTAAAGAGTCTATATTTGTTCTGGACAGAATAAAAGCCTTCATATAGGCATTTCTATGTAAAAGTAGATATAATAATAATGTAGTTTGGTCATCCTTCAGTGTTATACACAGGGTGTCATATAGTTTGGAGAAATCAAGTTTGAAGGTCGCTATGGCTTGTGTGGGATTTGAGTTGCTAGATTCATCTGTAACATGAAAATTGTTGAGATTAACAAAAATTCTGTAAATTTTCTCAGTTGCCTGTATGAATTAACACATTTCACTATTATATATTCTCCATTAATTTGTTGTTTTTACATTAGGATACATATGAAGTTAAAGTTACTTTATTCTGTATTTGCCATTTAATGGCTGAAAAATTGTTTTGGCTAAAAGGCATTGTGATTAAAAGCAACAGCCACAAATACTAATCATAGTCCATAACTTTTTTTTTTAAATTGCTATCAACACTTGGCTTTAAGGCAAAGAGGTAAAACACTTAATAGTAATATATCATTATTTTTGATTAGTCAATAGTTAATGTTCATTCTTGCTTAATTACAAATCATTGTTAATTTCAAATGCTATAAAACTGAGAGGATATATTCTACATCATGCAGGTTAGTAAATAGAGGACAAGTAACAATTCACTACAGAGTGCATCAAAGAAAACAAGAAATGCTGTTTAAGAGAGCAAGAAGATCATTTAGGTTGTTTGAATGCAAGAGTTTAAAGAAGCGCAAATAGCTACCCTCTTGCATTGAAGCAATGATGGTAAGAAAGGAATTAACCACATTTTTACATGACAAACGATGTAAAGTTTAACAATCATATTTGACAGCATAAAAGACATGAGCATATTCAGAAAAATGTTTGTAGTGCATTTAAGCATATAATATTTAAAGTAAACTATTAAAACATTACAAAAACACTTTTTAATATCATGCTTAAATTATGGCCAATATGGTGCTGGGTAACAAAGGTTTTGTTTATCTTTTTAGTTGTCTTTAGTTAAGAGAGATATATCATTTTTTTTTCAGCTGGTAGTGGGTCAAAAAATAATAAAGCTCCCAATGAAGTAAAAGGTCATTTTCATAAAGCACAGACCAAACAACACTGGAAAAATACGTTTTCATAGAGAATTATACATTTTAGCTTGATCCCACCTTATCTCTAATTAGCTTTAAGAAAAATACTCTTCCACTAAATTTAAAAAAAAAAAATACAAACTAACAAATGATTTCTGACTTAAACTATGAAGATATTTTCCCTGATTAACAATTTATATAAATTTTATTTTTATGAATATAACTATAGTTCATCAACCAACATTTTTATTGGTTAAGAGACATTCATGTTGGAATACCTAATTATAAAACTATTTTGGTTTATGAGATTATACTTTTTAATTGGAATATATTTTACAGGCATGAACATTTTCAGTCAACAATTAAAATTAATCTGAAAAGATAAAATTAAGTAGAAATTTAAAACAATGGCAAGTAACATTAATACAATATATATATATATAAGAATACTTTCATCATAAAATTGTTAAATAAGAATTTGATATTTTTAAAAATCTTCCTATTCCCATTATTTTGGAAATTTGAACAGAACAAAATATCAATATTACAATAATCTTTGGATAAGAGTTATTTCCCTTTGCATACGAGCACTCGATTTTCTAAAGCTGTTTGTGAGGCAATAAGCAAACACAAAACAGATTAAATCTATATTTAAAAGCCAGCATCTATTGCTTTATAATGCATAGAACATGTCATGCTAGTTTTTAGCCTGTAATGAATTTATGATCACCTCATGAGAATGCTGAAGATGGATGACCAAAATGACAAAATCTGATATTACCCACAATGACAGTACATTCCCAACATTAAGATATCATGTAACAGTATTTGATAAACAAAAGAAAAACTAACCTTGTGAATTAGTGAATGAATAGAGAGCTTGTCTATAAGGATTGTTCAGGCTGCGTTCTCCAGTGCAGTGGTTGGCCAAAACCAGGATGAACAATATACTTTGGTTTGACAGCAAAGCCTCATTGAAACATTCTTCTTCCTTCTTCTTGGCACCACCACCCATTCCAAGAGTCACCACATTCCATATGCCAGCTTAAAACAAAAAAATAAACAATTTAAACATACAGAATACATGAACACAAAATCAGACAGAACATTGTTGAAAAATATGAATTTTATTAAATAGTGTAACCCAAAAGTTAATTTCTGGAGTCATCAACAAATTAATGTGGTCAAAGATTACATTATTTCATTTTAAAGCATCTATAGCAAATTAATTTTTACTTTATCTTCATGGTAAATACACTCCACAGTAATTTCATTTTTATACATTTCAACCTATTTATAACAATTGGGAAATATACAAGTGAATACTGAAAAGTACTTGGCCCAGCCTAGTTACTAAAATCTGAACAAATAAAGCATCAGAATTTTTGTTTGGAAAAGCTTCTTAGTCATGCAGACAAATTTTCAGCAGCCTTGTCATAGTATTAAGTAAAGTGTAATAGAGTAGAGTGGTTTTTCACTTTATGTCTGATTCGTCTACATGTTTTCTGTCTCTTTTACATTCATTTATTAAAAAAATGAATGTCACCTACACCCAAGTAAAATAATCAAACCAGACTGAGTTTGAAAGAAGGCCCAATATCATGTTGTTAAAAAAGAAATTATTTCTTTAAATGTCAGACAATAGAATATATTTATATAGCAACCTGCAGTTTCTCTGATTAGACATAAACAGATATTATGATGTGGAATACAAAACTCAATAATGACAAATGTAACTAAAGTGACTAGATTTGAACAAGTGCTGATTAGGTTCCATAGTCTAATTGGTAAGGCCCTAGTCAATCAGGTCAGTTTCTAAGCATAAGGGATGAAAGTTCAAATCTCATCAGATGCTTAGTCTTTATTTTCCAATCCATGCTGGTTGCTTAACTGTCATAGGGTAAAAACCAACATGAGTTTAGAGATACAAAACAACAAAGATGAAAGAAAATCTCAGAAATTTGACAGTTGATTAATTATTGTCCGATTAAAAATAAATATTTTTTAATCTCAAGAGAATTTATCAGCCTTGAAATTCTCATCTACTGTTAATTGTTTATAAAGGTAAAAGTTCAACTAAATAGTTTCCTATTGCTGAAACCTTAAATTAAAGAAATTATTTTTTTAAGGAGAGAATGCATTTTTGTTTACTTTTGTCAGCTTGCCTTCTTTGTAATAATTTCTTTGAAGAATAAATTTAGATGAAGACTTTCAATCAATTTGAGAAGCCAAACAGCAACCAATATTCAAATAAAGACAGCATGATGAACAAAAAAAAAATTAATTAGAAATAAGTCACACTTTTGAGTGACAGTGAAGTTGATTATCTGGTATTCAATAATATTACTAGGATCTAGAAAATGATAAATCAATAATCAAATTTAAGTGTAGCTATTTTCCCCTAAATATGAAAATAAGTGTTACCAGAGAAAACATTTTTACCTAAATCCCTTAATAGAAAAAAAAATTATTATGATGGGTATCATATTTTAATTTCTATTTTTTTTTTTTTTTACAATGCATTTAAATCAGAATTGAAGATAAAAGGTATTATCTAGCTGGTTTTATTTCTTTTATAATATACCTGTTTGAATTTGATGTTCGAGTAGACATCCTCATTTTTTAAATAGTGTAAGTCTATGTCTACTGGCCTGTACATTTGAGAGTCTAAAAGAAAATATGCCTTGTGGTAGATTTCAAACACCCAGAAGCCTCCATCAATAAAAAAAATTATTAGTCTGGAGAACTCCTTTTAAGGGTTGTAACATAGGAGTGTGGTTTCAGAAAGTTTCCAAATCATGTTAAAAAAATAAAACAATAATAGTATGCCCTTAGACTGATAAATATATTTTAGATATTTTTTAAATTTGGTCACTATTTCCTTTGAAATAGTCTCCTTGGGAACATAGCAATCCTCCCCAGGAGACAATTTTCATAACAACACAATACATACTCAGGTTATGGTGAAGATCTCCCGAGAGACTCCATAATTAATTTCAATCACGAGTCGATGGATAGTCTGGACGACCCTCAGGAGTTCAGATATTTTTTCAAATTTTTTGTTTCATCACCTTGAACGCTTATCTTGAAGTAACATTTAACCAGCCTTGAGATATGCATGCAATATAAAATCCTGTTTGATCTAAAGAATATTTTCTAAAGGCTTCATGGAGCATTTTCAGGGTCTTGGCAGCAGGTTTACTGTAAAATTTGATGCAAGCATATAACTCAAATTTTTCGGCTATTGTAATTATTGCAAAGCCATTTCAATAGAACTTATTAATTAAATAAGAACAGATGGCATAAAGTCTATTGGTAGACTAACTCAGTAGGCTGTGTACCAATCAGTATCAGCTGCAGTTACATTTCCATTCAAGAGTACCACTCATTGCACATTTGGTTTAGGAACCAGAATCACTTCATATATAATGATGATGTAAATTTGACAAGTCATACTGAAAGTGCATAAGATTAACAGATTTATAAGAATGTGCAATTGAATCTTTGTTTCCTTGAACAAATTAAGTGTTTCCTATCAAGGTTTATTAGAATTTTGATTAATGTTACATTTAACTATAGTTGAATTACATTTCATTTTAATATTATGTAAAACAATGGCTGAGAAAGAATAAAGGTCTTGGAAAGAACTTTTTTCTTTATAAATAAAATAAGTCTTGTTACTCATGCAACACATGCTTATGAAGAGAAAAGTGTTTATCATGATTTTATGAAATATTAAACCTTATTATATATGGGTTCCATGGTTATTTCACAAAGTTACATTTCTCTTTATCAATAAATAAACATCAATAAAAGTTAATACCATAAAAAAATAAAATACTGTTTCAGAAATGTTACCAATGGCTTTAAGGAGTTTTGTTCATCCTTGCTAAAATAATATAATAGTGAATATAATAAATGATTTTATCTGTTAATATAAGCGATAATTAACCAGCATTAAGTAAATAAAACTGCAAATTCCTTTCATTAATCCATAGTACAATTTTCAGATGATCTTGCTTCCTATTCTAGTAAATCATGAGTAATAGATAAAACAACCATAGAATTTCCATAAGAATTGCTTATATAAACCTAAAAGTAGATATTTTTAAAAGCATCTGGGTGAATTGGAAAAAACAGAATCAGAAACTAAGTAAAATATTTCTCATGTTGGAATAGGAACATTTAACTATTACAAGAAGTGAAAGAAAAAGTTTGAGGAAACACGATAGAGCTGTATAAGGAGTTTCTAATGGCAAGCTAAAAGCAGGTGTTGATAACACGCAGTTGTACTTTGCAGATGTACTATGATGACATCATACATGTGCTCATGTGTAGACACTTATACATATAAAATACACCTGCTAAATATTTGAATACATATACACATACATATTTGAAATTTCATTTCCCAGCAAATCAATTTTATATTCAGAAAATCTACAAATCCAAAGTAGAATTAATGCTTATATATATATATATATATATATATATATATATATCAGAGAGAGAGAGACTATACATGTAAATATGTTCAAACAGTAAATGGGTGTTGCCAGTTAATACATGTCTATCAAGAAACCATAATCGTTCACATTTGAGCAAACATCTGTTTAGATATCTATGTAACATCTGAAAATATGTGAAATATTTTTGAAGCTGAAAGCAACTGCTTCACACACTTCTAGGTCATGACAGGTTAAATAATTAGAAAGTTCACAACACTTATTCTAGAATCTGAAAGCAGCAGCAGCAAAAACAAAAAAAAAAAAAACAGCTATCTATCTATATATATTTTTCACCGTAAAGTTCATATATATAGTGTATGCATATATGAAGGAATACTGAAAAGTTCTTGGTCTGACCAAGAAGAGATTGATCATTTCATCAGTTTGGGGGAAATGGGTTGGGTCATTAACTTTTTATCACCCCCCCACACACACACACACAATGAGTATGCTGTATGCTGATATACTAATATTAGTAGATCTGATATTTTTCCTGCTGTCAGCCTCTCAGAATTTAGAAAGTGCTGTTTCCTATATTATGAAAATACTAACACATTTTTATACTAATACTCTTCAAAGGTTTATAATAAAAAAAAAAAAAAAAGCAAGAAATAAAATCTGTTTAATCTCTAAAATATAAGACTAAAATGAATTTTGGTGCATCTATGTAAGTCAATACATGTACAAATAAAGATAAAAATGCTGAGAGATGAAGAGCCACAATTACAGAAAACACCCACACACAGCCTGGTACGTACATAGAAATGAATAGCCATTGAGAAGTACATATAAAAGAATAAAGTGAGCAGCATTCAAATTCATGTTTATATGAGCTAACAACTCTAAAGAAACATATACACATAAAAATGGCTGCTGACATGTACACATCCACTGCAGAAGAGTGATATTGTTCTGGTAAAATGCCAAGGAATAAGAAGCAGACAAGTGTTGGCATCATAAAAGCACTAGAACTGATACTACTTACAGGCAACAGAAGATGTAATGTTGTAAAGCATGCCAGAACTGTTATTGCTGGCCTTGAATAACTCTGCAGGACATTTCTCTTGGTTGATGTAGTTACGTAGCAATGCTTTCATTAACAAGCATGCATGGATAGAACTAGGAAGAAAATAATGGAGACAACAATTAATGAGTTCAAAAAAACACATACAATATTACACAATAGAAATAAGTATAGTATTGTCTGGGGGGGGATAGCATTCAATATGATTAACGTTTATAGGCCAAATTTGTTTCATTTATATCAATGTTGAGCTTTTAAAAAGATTAAAACAAATTCACTAAGAAAATGTCTACTTGAATCTGTAAGAAAGCAATGCTAAAATCCTTTGTTTCTGGCAAAGATTCAGATTTTTTTTTTCTGAATCAAATAAGAAATTGGAAGGTATTTAACAGTCCTATTTATCTTACTAAATTTTTCCATAAAATCTAGTTAAATTTTCTCAATAATTCTACATCAAATTTCTTATGGAAAGTGTTCAGTAATTAAATATTAAATAAGTGACATTACTATAAAAAAAATCAATTTTGGTTAGTCTGCATGCGTATAACACTGTTATTAATATGGAGTATAATTTTAATCTCCTTAATCAAGGAGATTAATGTTTATATCTAGAATTGAATTAACGAGATTTATGCGACATACTCTCTTCACTTCCTCCTTTATGGCAACATAGCAGAATCAAAGTTATAATAAAAGGACAAGGAAAGTTTTTAGTTCATATCAACAGCCTTAATGCAAGATTTCACTATTAGCTTTGTTCAGTATTATTGCTCTAATCATTAAACAAAAACATGATCTCTAACTTTCATAATACAAAAATTCTAAAGCCACCTAGTCAGTTTGAAAATTTTCAGTTGATAAAAATTACTCTGGTTTATATATGTACAAAGAGAAAATAAGAAAAGCCACATGAAAGACCAATTTTGATTAAAAACAAATCCTATCTCGTATCTTTCTTCTTTCAAGAAATCAAGAAAGTGCATATAAGCAATATGATATTCTAATCTGTAGTTCATGGCATTTTTTACAGATTACAGATCAATATTTAAAAAAAAAAAAAATTCATTAGATTATTTTTTGTTTTTCAAATTTAAACAGAAATAAAAAAAATATTTTTCTATCAATGAATAGAAATCGTAAAAAGATTGAAATTGCTGTCGACAGAATTTAGACGTACAGTTTCTCTTAAAGGTGGCAACTCTTTCCTTTCAACTAAAGCTAATAGCATGTTACTGTACTTTTGGGGGGGGGTTCAAGAGAATATGTCATGGTCTTCTAAATAAGGATAAAAGTTTTTTTCATTGACTTAAAATCTTGTTAATAAATAATGAAATCTTTTAATCTAAGTAAAAAAAATTACAGAGAAAAAAAAAACAATAATCACAACAGAGACTTTCAGATTTAATTTTAAAAAGATAAATACTTACTCAAAAGCTATAAGTATTTGAGGAAATATAAAATTATATAGTAAAAGAGTAAGGAATCTAAGCAAAGCTACGAGGCATATAAACAACTGAATAGCATTGTCAGAGTTTATTATACATACAAAAATGGTTAGTATAAATCATTTGCAAGATTATCAATATTTATGTTAACAATGCAAGTTTATTGTTGTGTAAGAAATGAAAGCAACATTCTCACAATCTATAAATGTTGCACACATTTGTTGTCAATTCCAGTTCAAAAACTTGGCCATAAAAGATACAAAACATGATTTTAGGAGCATAACACCTAAAGAAGTCAAATGGATGAGCTGTATTTTGTAATGAGAAAAATTGTTGATGAAAGAAAATGCTAATTAGTAGCAACAGAATATCTAAGAAAAGAAAAACCTGTTAACATTTAGAAATCTTTCGAGCAAGGATGAGCGATGAAATTTTTCTTAATTGGTAGCAGAATATAAAATGTATAAAAAAAGGAACAAAAAAAAGGAACAAGAAAAAGGAACAAGAAAAAGGAACAAGAAAAAGGAACAAGAAAAATGATGGAAAATTACTCTTTACCATTTCCCTTGCATAATGCATCTGTAATGGAAGAAATTGCTTGCTGCTTGAGGCTGATACATTTGGATGGACAACAGCACCAACAACGTATTCAAGGCTTCTAAATGCAATGCATATGTAAAACTCCTGAAACAGATAAAAGAGAAAAAGGTCATGAGTTTTTCATTAAAAAAATAAAACTATAGTTTTTCAGTGTTTCTTAAATTTTAAATAACTAATTACTAAATTAAAATTAAACACTTGCCAGCTATCCAATTACATGTAGATATGAAATTTATTTTTGTGCTATTCACAATTACTTTGAATTTCTCAGAGCTGACTTCCATTCCATATGTTCCTGCAATTTCAAAAAGTTTGTTGGTCATTCCTCGTACCTGCTATGAGGTCAATGTCATCTGCAAAATGTAGGTAACAGATGAGTCTACCACTGATAGAGATTGAAGGATCATTGTCGTTAAAGGTTGAACAATGTGGGTGAAAGTAAGCATCCCTGTCTCACACCGATAGTTGTCTGGAAGAACTTTCCCATTTGTTTTCCCAGAAGAACTGTGCTGGTGGCATCTTTATACAGGACCTGGATGACTTGGATAATTCTGTTATCTACATTAAATTCCCTAAGGATTTGCCGAAGACCATCATGGCATACACAATCAAATGCTTTCTTTAAATCAACAAAGTTGTGGAACACATCTTTCTGAAACCGAGAGAAGGATCCAAGCATTTGAGAACAAATGCATGAGAAAACTCCTTGGCATCTTTTGTTGAGAACAAAAAACCAATGAGTTTGTGTGGAAAACGGTTGATAGTTTTGTGGGCCACCAGGATCTTCTTCGTACCACTGTCAAACGGAGAATGGTCTGGACACATTACAAGGCACGACAGCCTGTGTAAGACCATCATGCAAGGCACCATTGAAGGTTGGCGTAGGAGAGAATGCCAACATAAAAACTGGTTGGACAATGTCAAACAATGGACAAGTATGACTATACCAGAATTGCTGATGGCTGCTATTGATAGACTATTGTGGAGGAGTCAGTGTGGCTTCTGCATTCGGATCCCCCACCTATGATTACAAAAGTTAAGGGGATGATGATGAAATTTATTGATTGAAGTTAATGAGAGTAATGGTGCCTCTACATATATTTTTTTTAATCAGGTAACATTGTGTTAATCTATGGAAAAATAGATATGAAAATAATTTTCCGTTAAAAATTACAGTAAAACTACTAATACAATCCAGTATCAAAATGTAAAAAGCAAGAAATGAATTTGTTGTGTGTGGGTTTGTGTCAATAAGCCTAACTGATCTGGAATGTGATTAATGAGTAAGTTTTGAATTAAATGCATTAATAAGGAAAGAGACAATGTTGAAAAATAAACATTTCTACAAAATAAGTGCTTTTTTTTCATCATTAGGTTATGGACTTGGTCATGTACTCATATATATATATATATATATACATACACCAAAGTACTTACACAACAGGTACATCTACCAACAATTCTGCAAGGGAGTTCATGAGTTCTTCTGTCAAAGAACCAGAACCTTCTGTTTCTCCTTCTGCAAAAGAAAAAAGTTCAATCTTTTTTTGAGTGGAAACTTCAAGGACATTCACTGCCATCATACTTATTTTCATCAGAACATTTCAAACTTCCTCATCATCATCATCTGTATGGGTTTTTGTTTTAAGCTTTGTTTTTTTCCAAAAATGGAATTTTTTTTATTTTTTATTTTTACTTTCATGTAAAACTTGACAGAGTTACTTTAATCTCTCCAAATGACTAAGAGCATTGATGGGTGGCACTGATCAATCAGGTCTTCAATTTTGGGTTCTGTCTCACTTCAAAGAGAGAGAGATGATTGACATACACCTGATGAAGGCCAGAGGGAACAATGGCCGAAATGTTCTGATAACAATAACAAAGAAGAAAGCAATAATCTGCATGTAAATAGTGTGAATAATTCAGACAGAAAATATTGTACATTTAATATTTTGAGAATTTTATAATGAAGCACAATACAAATTAAAATATTCTTTGCATACTTTGGAATATCATCTGTAAATCTTTAATTCAGAATATAAATTTAAACTGAACCCTATGTTCAATCTTGAAGAAAAAGAAACATGATTAAAGCAAACAAGGAAAATTTTGTCGATTATGACAGCTGATCAAAACAGAATGATTAAATTTGCAATAAAAGATGTTGTAAAAAAAAGGAATTGAAATTGACCTGGTTCATTTGTGGCATCAAACTGTTGTAAAATAAGTTCTTCACTGAGATTCTCAACAAAATACTTGCACAAACTACGGATGATGAAAAGGGCATTGTAAGTTTGCCAAGTGAAGATATTGCTGCAAAAGAAGAAACAAGAAATGTTAAGTGAATAAAAACAATAAATGTTTAATGAGATCTGGTTTCATCAAGCTTAAATAAAGCATCGGATGAAAGGACTGAGAGGTCTGATATTTGTTTAACACTTTCGACTGCTGCATTATTATAGCATTGTTACCTGGCTGTATTGGCCAATTTTAAGGAAAAATAGGAAATTGAGACTGAGTGGAAATAAATGACTATAAATAGAGTGACAGTGATTTTTCTTAGGTGCCATGCTGCCATTTTGGTTTTGATCAGATACTCTACAGTACAGACTAAGCTAAACAACACCACAATACAAAAAATATATCACAAATCCGGTTGTTATTGTAAACTAATAACAGAGTAGCAACTCTGGTTCAATGTTTTATTACATGAGAATGCCTAATGGTGATTTGAAGCAGAAAATAATTAAGATTGAAAAAACTCAGGGAAACTAATTAAGTGTTGAAGAGAATAAGGAAAGAAAAAACAGGTTATAATAGTTAGAAGCTATAAAATGAGTCTGGAGCAGGCTCCAGGAAGATTTGAACCTGAAATAAACCAAGCAGATTTCATTAAGAACTAGTAAAACTGGATCTTCCCCAATCCACCCAGTTGTCTTTGGGGCAAGATGACAAAGATTTATGACCTTTCGAAATTTCCCAAATTCAAAAGAATTCTTGATTTGTTTATACAAAATACTATTACTCTAAAATATTCATTTTGTTACCAAAATTTGTGCTGGGGGTTTGGTCTGACCACATTCTAAAAAGGGTGAGGTGATACTGAACAAAAGCTCAAATGAATAACTCATTAAAAAAACAGGCAATAAATTAATGTCAGAGATGTGTCAACTTATTTATATAAATATGATAGATGCAGATGAGACAGAAAGAGAGAAGGCTAGAAGAGGTGATCTGTTTATGAACTTTGTTTCCCTTTGCTGCCACTAATGAACACACAGTCAGTCAATTATGTGCCATGCTTGGGTGATCATGTATCTTTTGATACATGACTGATAAGGCAGATTTTTTTTTCCCCACAGTACATTGCTATTTCTTTCTGTGGTAGACCAGTTGCCATCCAAGGCTATAGAACCCAGTCTGTCCTGCTATTTACCCATAGCTGAGGAGAGAAGAAGAGGATTCATACTTTTCCCAAGGGTATTAGCACGTAAGTGAATGTAATGGATTCAACTGGAATTCAAACTCGGATGTCCAATTCCTCAATCCAAACCACTATCCATTACTCTACCGTGCCTCCATCAAGCCCAAATAGACAAGAATTTAATGCAAGAATCAAGGTCCTTTATTTCTCTATGAATTACTGCTAGAAAATTTTTCCTGTAGAAACTAGGTTATATAGATTAATAATTCATTATTGTTTTTAAAAGTTTGTACAAATTACCACAAATCTGAGCCTAAAACCATTACAATTGAACCTTCAAATCATAACAGAATCTCATACTGTTGCAAGTTGGAACACAAATTATGAACTAATGTTTATAAAATTCTTCTATTTCTTTTCCTTAATCTGCTGTCAGTTATTGACAGAGTTACTTGGTTTGTTCTGTGAAATTGGTTTTCAGCAAAGACAGAAATTACCACGGCCTGCTGAATTTCACACTTGAATTCTCAGCAGGAATCCCAATGACTAGTGGGTGAAATCCCAATGAAAACTGGTTACCTGCTGATGTCTACATGCGATGGCCATGAATATGAATAACACCATCAAGTGACAATGCCAAGAATGCTACATTTTTGGTAGTGCTGGGACTGGGGATGACAGATCAACAATGAGGGTGTTTTATACACTACCATATGTCTATGCTGGTTTTGAAATAACCTGAAATGTTACTTTGTAACACAAAGGCTTGAGATTAACTTTTCATGGTGTCTTGAAAATGTATATCAATACTGACATCAGGCAATGTAAGTTTATAAAGATAAAGAAGTACACTGAGAGCGTTGGAGGTCGTAATGAGTTACTTGTTCATGTGATATTAATGCCTAGATAAAAAAAAAAGCGTGAAGTTCATACTTTATTAAACTCTTAAATAAGAAATCACAAAAAAATCAGCATAGCGTGATAAAAACATGCTCCAAATATTATGAAAACATTTTTTTTGTCAAAATCTTTATGCTATTATTAAGAAGAAAGATCAAAGTATTTGTTAAACATTTAACTAAATTTCGTACTCCTTTTTAGAACATTCGAAATTTTGATGTACTATATTTTAGCATAGCAAATTTTAGTGTCTTTTTTTGAGGTGAAAGATACATTAATTTGGAAATTCTTGCAAAAATCAAATGTAACGACATTTTCAGGACTTATTCACAAATGAATGAAATTATTCTAGAAATATTTTCTATTAGAAAATCTTAGTAAAATATTTTTTTTAATATGTGTTTCACCCCCTTATTTAATTTTATGAAAACTTGAGAAATTTAACATGAAAATTTTTAGTGACTATATTAGTTAAGAGCAGAATTTTTTGAAGAATTTCAAACACCGATTTTTTTTTTTTTTTTTTTTTTTTTTAGAAAAATTGGACCCAGTTTTACCAAAAATCTGCTCTGAATCGAAAATTAAACAATGCAATAAAACTAAGACATTATTTAATTAGAGAAGCTTTTAATTGCTTTTACGAATAATATATATTAAAGATAATATTGTGTTAAAAAAAAAAGTTTTTTCGATGAAAAATGAATTTTTACAAGATTTGTTTCCATTTTTTTAAATTTTAATTAGAATAAGTTATATTTTTAAATCTTTTAAAATTCAGTTCCAATGGTGTAACTCTTAAGAAAGAATGTTATTAAGTAAAACTATATTTACTAATCCTATATCATAAAGCTTATTACAATCTGACACCCCCAAATATTTTTAAAAGAATTTTGATGTGTAAAAATGTGCCGAATTTTAAGGATATGGTCGCCATACACAACACTATCAGAAAATAAGAGTGACATCTATAGTAAATTTAGAGCCAAAATTCTCTAAAATTCAATAAAACATTAGATTATGGAGAATATTTTCTTAAATTTATAAGATTACCAAGTACTTAAAAAGTGTTCAGTTATATTCCTCAGTTATTTTTTTAAAGGTTTTTTCAATTGTTTTTTGTTTAAGCTCGTGTAGAACAACATTAAATAACAACCTATCCATCATCAGCTATCATGGATGTGTCAAAAATCTGTCAACAAATAAACAAGCTACTGTCAAGTTGAAAAATGCATTTCTGTGATATTTTAAACTTAAAAAAAAAAATAGTTGTTTCAAATCAGATTAATTATATTTTAAATTTGCGAATATTCCTCAAATAAAGTTTCAAAAAAGTATATTTTATTTTTGGAAGTGTTTTAATAAAGGGATTTACATTTTTATAACACTGCTAAAAATGGCACTAAATTCAAAAATTTTTTAAATTTCAAAAACCAATTTCTTCCAATCAATGAAATACAGCATATTTTGGGTATTGGAAATATTAAATTTAATCTCTCAGCTTGAAATTAAAACTAAAATAAATGCTTCATAAAAGATTTTTTATTATTAAAAATTCATTTTAAAACTTAGATAACGTATTTTTGTAGAGGGTCCTACTCTTAAAACAATGTACAAAATAATTGACTGACATCATCAGAACTTGTAAAAAATATGTAAGAACCTTGCAGTTTTATAGGTATTACTATTTTTAAATTGTACAATATTGTTTACTATGTGTTGTTTAACACAGATTTTCTTGTAGCTGGTAAATAATGATCAGATAATTCCAGCTAATGTTAACTGAGTATTATATCCTATTAGTCAATTGGAGATCGCCCTAAACAGTGACTAGAAAATAGTCATGAAGAATAATATAAAATAGTATAAGAAAACTATTCCATATATTTTACCCTTTCACAGTAATAAGGTCAACATAATCATAACCAACCAAATAAACTTACTCATCACATTGTGTTGAAGCTTTTAGTTCTGTGGCACGTACAAGAAAGTTACGAACTAATGCACCAAAGTTCCCTGTGCGGCAGTTATTAAGGGCAAGATTCTTACAAATTGATGACGTGGATTCTTCCAAAAGTCTTGCATCAGCACTGCAAAAGAAAAGAAATAATCAAGTACTTGATTAAAAATATTAAAAGAAAAGATGTTATCATGAATTAAATAATTGCTAGAAAATATGCAGGAGTATATATATATATATATATATATGGCTGAGTGATTATAGAGTAAACCAGTAACCATGCCACACCTGTTTGGCTAAAAATAATTTCACAAAGAGAACTGTACAAAAAAAAAAAAATTCATTATCTTAATTACAAAGTTATGGTTACTTTGACTGGGCTTATTTTATTTGACCAAATAACTTAATATTTTAATAATCATACAAAACATGTCTTATATTGACCTGGCTATGATATGACATTAAGGCATGTAAGGCATTTTTTTACATGTTTTGCCTTAAAAAACAAAAAAAAAACATTTTGTTCTAACATACAAAACTGAAGCATTTGGCAGACTAATGTTTTTTTAAAAAAAAAAAACAGATGCCATAGATTACCAATACTTATGCTTAAATGCACTCTACAATATGGCGATTCACTATGGAATTCACTTCTACAATGAACTCCATAGTGGTCATAGAAATGTTGGCTCAGGTATAAAGATAAAGTGAAAAGCAACCTTTCTTGTGTCAACATTCAAGAACTTTGATGAGGTAGCTATGAAGAGATCAGAATATCATTCTAGCTGCCATGCAGGAATAATGCACCATCAAAAAGTAAGCATCATTCGACTGCATGAAACACAAAGGCAAGATAAGGCAGCTAACAGTGTTCCTGCTGCACTTGGATACAATACATTTCCCTGTACTGTTTATGGTCTTTTGTGCAATTTTCAAGCTGGCCTCAAAAGTCATGCCTATCATAGGCATACAGATATTTAGTTTGTGGTCATCGAACTCAACAGGAGAGTCCATCATATATATATATATATATATATATATATATATATATATATATAGAGAGAGAGAGAGAGAATATATATAAAAAATAACAATAAATTTTTATATAGCAAGAATAATTTTGGGGAAAGATGTATGGCAAAATTTTTCATGTGATACAGTTTGTCTTTAAAACTTCAAATGAGATATGCTGTGAATTTTTCCACATAAGAGAATAACATTTTAACACTTTTAGAAGCAAACATTTTTTGGTGAATTTTTTTAAAACAGAACTGACATCTATCCAAGTGACATTTTGCTTATGTCACTGAAATTGTAGTCAATAGTTAAAATGTATGAATGTAAAAAGTGTCCATAATTTGCATTTTATAAATGTTTCACTGAAATAAGTTACTAATTTCATTCTTGTTCTGTTCATATCTTGAGATGATACTTTTACTTTCCACAAAATCATTCTTCAGAAATAGCATCTGATTAAGACTGAAAATACTTTGATTTAATAACACTTACACATACAAAATATACAATGTATGTGTGTGTGTATATTTAGTTAAATTTTGGTTGGTTCAGACTAGCAAATAAGTAAGATTCCAGATTTAAAATTTTTCTTATTTTATGCCAGGTAATATGTTAGTTCCTATACAAACATTTAAAGAGGTCCAAGAAAGAAATCAGCAAATTTAAATGTATCATAAAAGAGCAGAAAGTCAGTGCAGCAAAATTGGCAGAAAGTCATGACATTTTTTTGTTATGGTTGCTGCTATTCATCTGAAGAGGCATCATTACGTATGAAGATGCACAGTAAAAAAATACAGAATTAGAGTGATGTTATTCATGTAAAGGTGACATGTAAAGCCTGACAGCTTATCTGTTCAGTTCATTGCCTCACTGCACAAAAGCAGCCATTTGTAACAGAAGCAAAGAATGAGGAGACAGATTTAGCAGCTACATCTCAAAGATTTCATCAGCATTAATATATGAACATTTTAAAAAATTAACATTGCTTGTTGATTACAATGGCCTTAACAGTGATTTTGTTCAGACAAAAGTTTTAAAATTTCTAACATTACATGCATAACTAAATAAATTTAATTATAGTGATAACTATTTCTTAATAGAACATTAGTGGTCATGATGATCAAGCAATCTGTGAACACGTTTACTGTTACACAATGAGTGTCTTGTGATGCCTTTGATGCATAAATACCTATTCTACACATTTCATGTGCATCACATGGCACTATGAAGAAAAAATTAACAAAGCCAAATATATACATTAGTAGTGTTAACCTTCACAAATTGAATTTTAGTAACCAAAATAAAGAACAGCAATTTTCTAAGAAAAAACTCAAATGGCATTATATAGATAGGTACTACCAAAAATTTGCTAAAATGAGGATACCCGATAAAAGAAACACACAAAATATAAAAACAAAATTTCATTGTCAAAATATTGGTGCTGTTAAAAGATCAAGATTTTTTCATTATCTATTAATTTAGAACCTTGGAAATTTTGATTAAAAATCTTGTTTTTCTGATATCAATGTGGGACTATAAATTAGTATGGGAAATTTAAGCATCTTTTTGTGATGAAAAACACTGATTTGGATATTCTTGCAATAATCAGATAATTATCAAATTTTAATGAAACTTTCAGGTTTTATTCACAAATGAATTAAATTATTTTTAAATTGTTTCTTTTTTAGAGAATCTTTGGAGAAATACTTTTTTGTTTTACATCTGTTAACTCATTTAATTTCATGAAATTGAGAAATTCTTTTTTGTATTGCTTAATGTTTATATATTAGTTATAAGGACAAGTTTCGGGAGAATTTAAAATCATCAGTTTTTTTGTTTTTTTTCATCAAACTGGACCCCCAATTACACAAAATCTGATCTGAATCATAAAATGAAAAATGCAATAAAAGTAAGACATTATTTAATTAGAAAAGGTTTTAATTACTTTTATGAATAAAATATATTATGGACACTATTGTCTTAAGAAAATTTTTTTTGATGAATAATGGATTTTTACAAAAATTATTTTTTTTAATTTTAAATAAAATAATTTAAAATTCTACATTAATTTGTAGCAATCAAGTGATATTGTTATTAAATAAAAACTATTTACTAATCATAAATTCAAAAGATCACAATTCAACAACTCACGGTATCTTAAAAAGAATATTGAATTTTTTTATGTGTTTATATTGGATGTATATGCATGACAGAAAACAACAGTGTTACCTAGTTTAAAATTTATTGGTAACTTTCTAAAATTTCCTCAACAAGCATCTTCGTAAGTAATATTGTCAAGCCAAACTACTTAAAATCCAGTAAAATATTACAATGCTTAAAATATTTTAAATTTTTAAGATTACTGAGTAGTTAAAAATATATAAAAAAAAGCATTTCCATATTTGTCATGCAATTTTATTTCAATTATGTCCACTTTACTTAAATTTCTCAAACATCAAGCTGTCAGTACATCACTCAACACAAAAACAAAACACCCACCTCCATCTTAAAAAATGTTTTTCTGTAATATTTTAAACTAAATCAAGTGATATTTGTTTTAACTCAGATTAATTAAAATTTTAAATCAGCTAATTTTTTCTCAATGTTTCAGAAAAATATATTTTATTTTTGAAAGATCATTTTAATAAAGAGAATTATGTTGACAAAATTTGTCAAAATGGTTGATTTTAATGATAACAAGAAAAAAAAAATTCCAATCAACTTAAATTTGGTTTGAAATACACCAAAGTATTTTGCTTTGGGAATATTAAATTTAATCTATTAGCTTGGAATTAAACTAAAATAAAAGCTTCAAGACAGATTTTTCATGTTTTAAAATATATTTTAAACCTTAGGTATCACTACATTTTTTTTTTAGGTAATTATCGTTATATGAAGGTTCAAATGTCCAATGTATTAATAATGATTTGATAACTAATAATGTTTTAGGGGTATAAGCCATCAAGCTCTAAACTGGCACTGTTTATATAATAAATCAACATTTTTGAAACAGGAAGTCAAACCTACAGGAAATTTTTAAAGACTGATCTTATTTTTGCTTTTTATTTGCACAGACAGGAAAGAGAAAGAGAGTAATCAATACTTTTTACTATTTATTGGACTTTTCCTGATTCTTAATGTTTCAACTTCTCATTTTAATATTAATAAATAATTATCCACTAATGAAACAACATTGCATCTGAAGAAGATTATACTATTTAAAATGCATAGATTAATAAATAACAAGATATATGTGTACAGACATGTATCTTATTCATCGAAATGTACGGCTTTGTAGAAGTATATTCCCTTAAGCTCAGCAAGCCTGTTCATAAAATTAACAATGTTCTCATTTCAAAGAAGTAAGAATTTCTTATATTCATTTCAAATAACAGACAGTAATTTTTAAAGAATTTTAAGTGTAGCCCAAAGCAATAAAGCTGCCTTGTTAAAAAAAAAAAAAAAAGAAAGAAAAAGCAAGATAAACAATTGTCTAATTTAAAATGAATAATTTTTTTCAGACCATTATTTTTATCCATGTTGTTTTCTTGTCTTAAGTTTTTTTTCTCTAAAATTCAAATAAAACACTAACTCAATGTAATGTTTAAACTGGGTTTTGTCAAATTCTTAATCCAGGAAAGGAACTGAATTCACCGTTGCATGCCGAGTTCTTTAACAAAGATGCAATGACAGGCAATCAATTCCTTCAATGTGCTTCAAATATTGAACTTGAGATTCAAAGAATAAAAATTTATAACCAAAAAGAGAAAAGTTCAAAAAACAACAAAGATAAAGATTTTGGTCTGAAAGAAGTCAAATATAAAGCAGTTCAGTCCGGACAAAATAGCAAGACCCAAATTTGAATTATCAGTTTTATAAGCTGAAAGCTTCTTGCATTTTGTGCATTATTTAAACACATTTCTTTTATACTGTTAACTATTCTTTGATACTTGCATCTGTGGGTCAGTGTCAGGAATAAATCTGAAAAGAATACAATCAGAAATTCCATATAATTACTATGCAATTTCAACAATAGAAAAGCCAGAAATAGGTGTTGTCAATGAAAATAGAAATTACAAATCATCAGCTACAATAGTATATGTGATAGAAAGTAAAACTATATTTCTCAGCTACTTTTAATCTGTTAAAAACTCTTTTTTTCAGTAAGAATTCTTTTTTCTACAATAATATTAATAGCAGCAGAAAATTAAACTCGGTGGCATAAAAGTTCAAAACACTATTGCATTTATACTTCATATATTTATAAAAGGAAAAAAAATACCACTTTCAAACTGTGGCAAAAACCCAGTGGTAGTTTGTGAACTATAGATAGTTTTGTAAATAGTTGCTACAATTTTGGTTCACTGGTCAAGTATACTAACCATTAAATGATTTATAATTTAAGTGTTAGCTTCATTAATCTTGTATAGAAAAAGGAAAATTAATTTTATATAAAAAGGATTTTTCCCTTGCGACCAAATTTCTATTTATAAATAATTTTATACTCTCATAGTATATCTAAATATAACTAAGAAATGCCTCCTTCAATTTTATACTGAAAAAGAAAAAAAAAAGTGACCTTGTTGTTTTTTAACAATCATACCAATAAATAAGTTAGGCTTTATAGCAAAGCTATGATAAAGATAAATGATCATTATAAACTAAACTGATGAAATTATGACTGGTTATTTTCTCCACTGGATAGTCTTTTACAAAGGTTCAAAAATTATGTTGTTAGTTGACATTAAAATATTGTCACTTCTTTTTTTATACTTTAGACCAACCAAGTTCTATCCACTCATCACTCATTTCTTTGCTATTCTACAATATTGAATGTGTAAAAAATTATATATAAAGCCTTTTCTTCCTTTATTTCTATTTAATTCTGCTAGGAACTGAAAATGAATTTACTTAGATCCTGTTATTCTGTTACCATTGAATTCTTTTCTTTTACCAGTCTTAGAGTAATCCAAAAATGTCAACATCTTTATGACAATCTTGTTTTAATACTTTATTCTGCTTCATCTTGACTATTACTGCTCTTACTTCAAATTTTAGTATAATGGGTCCTTGTATTGTAGATTATCTCCTTCATTGCCCTGGAAAAAACTGTCCTATGTACTCTCTATCATTATAATATTTTTTTCCAAAATGCCCATTCCTTCTTTAGATTTTATGCATCCTGGTGAAGTGCATGTATTTCTTTGATCTTTTCATGCCTGCCCACTGCATTTACGTTCTATAATTTTTATCACTGCACATTTCCCCATTTAGCCACTCTTTTTATCTGCTTGCACTTATCACTGATGGTTTTGTTTAGCTTTACATACTTGGCAACATTTCATGACATTAACTGTTATCTCTTTTTCTTTACATCAAGAATTTCCCTTGTTAACCACTTCTTTTTCTTTTATCTTTCCCTGAGGTAACTTACTGTTGTCACCAATACTGTCCTTAAAATGTTCCAATTTGAAACAAAGCTTCATACTTGTTCTTAATTGCGACTTTATATACCTGTTGACAGATGAGTTTATTGTGGAGGTTTTCAGATTTAGTTTTGGCATGGCTTTGGGCTTCTGAAGTTTTTGTAATCTTACCCTTAGTTTGTGCATGACCGAGACAATGATTACGTCTGTTGTCAGCACTTAGTTATGTTATATTCAGTGCAAAACAGCATTTCTAATTCATTTGTTGATAGGCAGATAGTCTACCTGTCTCTTGGTGTCTTCTCAACCAAGTGTTGGTTATTACTTGGTCATTCACTGTACACCATTAAACACATTTTTATGTACACTTGCTGTGTGATCCAAGTCTATATTTACCATCCATTTCATGATCTTGTTCCTTTCTTAAATTTTTGTTTAAGTCCATCCTGATGATAATTTCTTGTGACATGTCCACTTGCTCTTGTTCACTATTAATGTGACTTCTCTTTCATTCTTTTCTTCTACTGAGGATACAATTTACAAATGACTCATTCTCTTTCCATCTTGTTTTGCACACTCCAAGAATATTAATCTTCAGATCTTCTATCACGTTTTCTAACTTACCACATTGATGCTATGTTCTAATATTCCAAGATTTGATTGTGACCTTATTTTTGTTGCAGATAATCACAACTGTCAGATGACACCAACCACATAGGCAAAGAATTAATTTGAAGGGTGCTGGCTCTCTTCATACCATTATCTATTTGTGTGCTTTGAATTGCCATTATTCTAGGGAAGGATAGTAGAGTGGTTACCCATTGTAAGTTACCAAATGTTAAAATGTAATCAAGTCGAAAGGCAACAGGTTGTAAAAACATCAAAGATACAAATGCGCATACATACAAATCATAGACAAACCTTGAGCTGAGAAACTGACAAGAGGAAAAGGATATTAATACTTGTTTAGAAAACAAAGTTAAAAGAATCTACACAAATAATACATGCAAAACATTTCACCAGTAAGCCAAGCATAAACTATAATACAAATAACACATTTTACTAATAAAAAAACATATTTTTTAAGGGTAAACAAAAACTAATAATTATTTGACAAAAAATACCAATTTAGATAACTTGAAAAAGAAAAAAGTTATTAGTTTCTACTGGGTTAAAATGAGATACCTGAATTCTCAGGAAGTCTTTTTCTAATTGTATTATTTTTAAGCAAATAAGGGATTTCTTTTTAATCTGACATTATTTTTAGTTGGTACTTGCTTAAAAATTACTTTGTTTCTAATTTCAATATAAAAATAAATCTAGCAGCTATAGATTTTTTAAAAGGTGCCAATAAGAGATGTATATTTCTTAAGGTAATTGAACCATACATTATCATGATGGCTTCCCATAGCCTAATTGGTAAGTATCCATTTTGGCTAAAGAAGTAGTTTCACTGATGGAAAAAGTGAACCCAAATTTGATTCCTGTAACGTTTGTCTCAAGTAGCACTTCTCTATGTCTAAGCCAGTTGACATTAATTTCACTGTTTAAAAATAACAGGGATGTCAATTTAAACATGTGTACCAACTAAAAAAAAAAATGTTGATAGTAATAAAAAATTGCATTATTCTAAAATATTTACAAAATCTTATTTTGTTTCTTAATAACAACAAAGACACTCAGTCATTTTTAATATTAAAAAAAGAAAAATTAAACTGAATGCACAAATAAACAATAACTAATGTGGAATATATTAGAAATGGGCAATAATAAAGGAATTTTCTAAGTGTTTTCTTACATATAAAATAAATCTTACTGAATATTTTAATCATTTACTTATATGAATTAATATTAAAGTGCTAAGTCCATAAACGTATTCATTTAAATAGACTTGTTATAGAGAACTTTGTATTATGTTCATTATAAAAAGCAAATTATTCCATATGCAAGAAATGTTTAATTTTCTTCAAAAAAGGCAAATGAAATTTAGGATATCATTTTACCTTGAGATTGGTGAAAGGAAAGAAAACGATAAAAGCTGGTTCCAAAATGGATCAATTGATGACAAAGGTTCAGTTCCAGCCAGCTTCTTCAAGTAATCATTTGTTGGCAGTTCACTAAAGCTGCTGCTGGCTGCCCCCATCTTTACAACCACAGCAAAACTGTAAAGGACAACTACAGCTGAGGATGGAACTGAAATAGACAATCAAGTGGAAATAATAGATTCATGCAGTGAGAAGTAAAATTAATTTTATATCATTTGTTTTTTTTGGTTTTTTCTTCTTACAGTAACAAGAAGACATTGATATTACAGTTAATAAAAATGATTTTATTATGAACAAAACAATCTTTTGGGGTTTTTTTTTTTCTAACTTAATGAACTCAATAACCAGGAACCTAATTTAATCGGGCGATCTTAACTTTTTATACAGGACTGAATTCAAATCAACAGTAATAACCAAATGAAAATCAGTCAGATGGTCTTTACTTTTAAATTGGCATTAAAACAGTCATTTTAGATTCATTTGCAAACAAGCTGGAATTGAAATCAAATTACTATATTTTATGGTATCTAAGACTTTCTCGAAATAAACCTGTATCCTATTTTTGTGATGTCAGTGAACACTCGTTGTAGTAGAGACTTTGTAACCACAGATACAACTATAATACGTCATAGAACAATACTGGTGTCAGATGCTTGATAATACTCACTCGAATAGTAATCCATATAGTGATCTGAATAGAGGAATAGTATAGTGAATAGAATAGAGAATAGCGGTCCATATAGTAATAAAGTATAGAGTACAAATAGTGATCTGAATGGTAATAGAGGATAGACTAGAAATGTAGATCAATTAGATGTCATGCTACCTTCAATATATGCATTTCCTCTATGGTCACATGGTCTATTTATTTCAATAATGGAATCACCTGTGTTTGCTTACTGGCAATCTATGTTCAAACTCAAGTATCAGCAGTGACACTTTATTCCTTCAGTATCTGTCTATATCTCTGAGATGAGGTATTATGTACACTATTTACATTGCTCGGACTATCATCCTCATCTTTGCTGCCATATTTATCACATGTTTCGTCTGTTGTATGCTCCAGCCTTCTTCAAGTGGTTCGAATGTCGAACTGAACCCTTTATTTCACTCGCATAGGGTAGACATCTAGACATGTCTAATGGATGTTAGTTATCTCCTGTTAATTCCCCTCTCCAAGTTCTCCACTGCCTTAACCAGGTATTGAACTCACACTCTTTGGGTCCTGGATCTAACTAATGCCTTTATCCACTGTGCCATGTGTCCTTAACAGGAGATAACTGATAATTGACATCGATTAGACATGGCACATGGAACTAGAACAGTCTACCCTAGTGAGCAAAATAATGGATTCAGTTCAACATTCCAACCACCTGAAGAAGGCTGGAGCATACAACCGCCAAAACGTTGTGATAAATATGACAACAAAGATGAGGATGATAGTCCGAGCAATGTAAATAGTGCACTTTATTATTCCTATATAACACCTAGACACTGATGGTCAGGTTTCAGATTTATGGCTTATGAAACTAGGAAGCTCAAGGAAATTTCAATTTTATTTCTTCCAACAAATCTCATGCCTATACACCAGTGTATCTTATGCACCAAGGTTACAGCTGACCTTAATTATATTCACTAAAGAATGCAAATGAATTGACACACATTTCTTGGACCCAATGCCCATTGGCATCAACAGTATTTGGAATAATTTCTCTCCAGTGGAATTATCCATAGCTGTTGAAATCTATTGGTTTTTTTTAACAGACATATTATCTGAACCCCTATATTTAACCATCTTTGTACAAGTTCAGGTGGCTGAGTTTTAATTTTAAATTTGTCCTTCTCATAGACTGGTTACCAACCATAGCTAGAGAGCCCATACTGCTATTTAACACATGGCTAGTGAGAGGAGAGAGAGAGATACATCTCTTTCTCAAGGGTATCAGAGCAAAAGTAAATGCAATGAACTTGAATAGAATTCAAACTTGGCTTGCCGATTTCTTGTTCCAACCAGCTAACCATTGCCCTACACGCAGATCCTGAATTAGAAATTTTAAAATCCCATGTACATGAGAATAGGAGAGAACAAAAAAAATAAATGTCAGAGTAGTTTCAAGCCATCTTCAAACGAAGTGCTAGACAACAAATATTGATTAAATAAAAAATGTCACATGATCATTTGGCTGGAAATTGTATTTGTAAATCAGTATATGAAATTAAAGTCATTTTGATTGAAAACCTACGAGAAAAGGTTTATCATTCATTATTGCTCTTTTTGGTTTATTTTATGAGAAAAAATAAGAGCAAGGTCCATATTTTTTTCATTTAAACAATGAAGCTTATGTCAGCTCAATTGTCTGAATCAAAGACAAATTTAACTGCATTGTCATTTCATGATGCACACATCTATTAGTCACTGAAAATATTTTTTTTATTGCTTCAGTCACTTTCCCATCACCGTAACATAGTTTCCCTTTGTCTTTTCTATAAATATTTTCACAGTAAATGTTCTGATGAATTTTCTTCTATGGTACCTACACTTTATGAATGCAAGCACAGTATTAGATTGGCAACATGGTCTCATTATTTTACAGTCAAAATGGTTAGAAGTAAGTTCTGTGCTAATAGTTTTTTCTCTTGCACGTTTTGTTTGTGGAACACTCTTCTGGCTTTTTGCTTTTCAGTCAACTTTGATCTTCAAAAATTTAAATGTAATGTCAATTGTTATCTTCTGTCTTCTTAATGTTTTTTGCCTCATATTCTCTTCTACTCAGCTACCCACTCTTGTGTCTTAGTGGCTTTATTGCCTTGTTTGGGGTGAAATGATTAAAAAAATATTTCTTCTGTTCTATGCAAAATATTTAAATAAGCAAAAGTGTGTGTATGTTTTTTGGATAGGGGTTAACTATATCAAATTATTTTCAGTCATGACTTGTTGAGACTGCACTCCTGCAAATTGTACATTCCAACCGATGATATTTTTCTTTATTTAATCATATGTACAATAACTGATAGCAAACATTGTTACTTATGATTGCCTTGAGTAAATATAGTGGCCATAGCTAAAATGAATTATGAAATAATTTATTTCTTTAAATGTTCAACAACACTGCATCACCTGATTAGATATTCTTTATTATAATAAATAATTATAGAGGCTATTTTTAACAGGGTAATGTGAGACACTGAAAATGAGATCTGATGTGTGTCACAGCTTGTTATATGGAGACCCAGATGGAAGCTCTCAAATTGACAATAGTAGTAATCAGCACAAGATAAGACTATATGGAGAAAAAACATTTACATATCCATTAGCTAGAGAATGGATAGTAACAAAGAAAACTGAAATATGGTTTTGTAGCTGCTGGGGACACAGATGGATGAGATTTTCAATAGCTGCTGTAAATATTTGAAGGGATTTGCTTCCAAGACTGAAGAACCTGTTAAAATAATCACTAACATTATAAGTGAACTCAGTAAGAATTTCAAAGATTTCTGTTGCATATCATTTAGAAAAATTGACTCAAATGTTTTTAACAAAAAATCTCCTTTGTGGGAGATGTGTGTGCAAATTCATTCCAGGTGTGATAAGTAAAGAACAAAAAAATGAAAATATCCATTCCAATATATATTTTCACTAAAATGTCAACAATCTGACTAACAGACGATTCTGACCTAAGGATGAAGCTGAAAGTGGAAAAATAGATGTTGAAGAATTTTAAATCATTGCTGTACTCAAAATTCAATTACCTTTTTTTTTTTATAGAACTCATTAAATCTATAATGATATGTTACTCAATTCACAGCATCAACAAATTTATTTCTATAGGAACTTTAAAATTCTAATATTAATTTTTGATAAGAACATTTTAAAGTTATTAAAAAAAAAATCTCAATCTCATTTTCTTTCTTGTATAAAATCACCCATTCATTACCATTTTTTTAATCATTTCCCCCCAAGCAAGGCAATAAAGCCACTAAGACACAAGGGACTACCACACAGGAGAGAATATAAATAAAAAAACACTATTAAGGAGAGAGAACAATAAAAGAACAGGAATTAAGAAGACAGTAGATAACAATTGACATTGCATTTAAATTTTTGGAGATTAAACTCGAGTGGGAAGCAGGAAGCTGAAAGAGTTCCACAAGTGAGAAGTGCAAGAGAAGAAACTGTTAGCATAGAACTTATGGTTACATATGGCAATTTCAACTGTAACCTTTCAATGTATCAACTTCAAATTGGGGAAGTTCAACATAATGTGAATCTTGAAAGTTTAAGTGTGAACATCATTTTCATTCTCAAAATGTTACGAAATACTTCATTGCAATCATTAATAGGACAAACTTTCATGTTAACCAAACATCAAGCAGCTTGAAGCTCTTAATGCAATACTATTTTTAAAATTGCTTCACTATTGATTGACTTCTGTCTCTCAGGTACTGTTAACCTGGATAATGCACAAAAGAGTTGAATATTACAATCTATCCGATACAATTTTTAAGTTGGAGCTTGTACTTTTATTAATTTATAGTGTAAGCTCAAAGGTACTGTCTTCTTTCATGCAAATCTACCACTTGATTTCTTTTCAAGGTTCCATCATTGCTATCAAACACTGCATATAAAACCAAGCAATCAAGCTAATGACTACTGGTACCAACATGGATTATGCAGTACAAAACTATATTTAACAAGTTTTTGTTCAATAGCAGACAAAACTGTTCATTAGTTAAATCTAAAGTTGCAAATAACGGCACATTTATCTTTCTTTCTTTTTTTTTTTTTTAAACCAACCATGGATACACTCTGGAAACTTGTCTAATTTTTCCTGGACCTAATCTTGAGTATTATTCTCAGTTTTACTGTCAGTTAATCTTTTTTTTATGTAATTAAAGGATTTTTGTATAATTACAATCAATTAAAAAATCTGTTAACTTCAGTAATATCTCTTGTTATTGTAATGATAGTAATTTTAAGCTGAGCTTAGTTTCAGTACAAGGCCACATTGAATTCACTACTAACTAATGGTATTGCTCACTGTTCAAATACTGTTTTCATTTATTAGACATGTTTTACAATTTATTTTGGAGCAAACAC